CTACCGGGTATGTGCCAAGGTTCCCTACTCATTGCTCTTCCTCCTTTCTGAGCAATGAGTATTCACAACCGCAGAAAGTCTCACCCGTCCAACCCGGGATCTTGACTTCGCCATAAACTTTCGGCGTGCCACACGAAGTAGTACCCGTACTATGGCGTACAACACAAGGAGCAAAACAAACAAGTCCAGATCCGGAAAGCAAACCGATGTACTGAGATAGTATTATGGAATCGACTCAAGAGACGGAATCAGAGACAAATCAAGATCGTGTGACTCCATTCAAGACCAAAACATTCATATGAAAATATATATGTTCAAATCAATATGTAACAATTAACTAAATAACTCACCGGGCAACCGTGTAATACCGAAAAGCTCCGAATTGAGCTCACAAAAGCAAGTTCAATCTACCACACTTAGATTGCTTCCAAAATATCAAAACATGTCTTAATTACCCCCCTGGAGTAAATGTACAAAATCTCATAAGCAATCAATATAAGAAACCCATGATATACACATATCCTATTTGAACATTTTACCCAATTTTCTATGTACAGCTGCTGCATGCAGAATTGTTTTGCCTATTTTAATCTCGAAATCATGCCTTGATCATAAAATAAGAAATAAACTAGACTCAAATATCTAACTCAGGAAATTGGCCTCACCTCATTTGGATTTTTCTACTTTTTTATACAGATTTTCAAAGCCTGCACACTTTCAAAACATTCAAAAAGTCGAAATTCTCATTTTCATACATTTTCCTCAAACCGTTTCGATTCCAAAATATTCCAACTTCTGAATCTCAACTTAATATAACATATTTGACATAAACATCCAAAATCTAACTTTTATTTTATCATTTATATTATCTCCCAAATCATTGACTTAATCAAGTCAAAGTTCATATGATAAACTTGCATAAATCTCGATAATCTCTTGAATCTAATGACCATTTCATGCCAAAAACACTAAAATGCACTCATTTTATACACTTTCAAACTCATATGAAACCCTAACTCTATCTCAACATGCAATCCATAAAACAAGAATATCCACCAAGAACAAGTGCAAAGAATGAATTATACCTTACTTGATGATCAAATCCTTCAAAGATCTTGTAGTTCCTCTTTGATTTGAGTTGAATCAAGCCTATGTGTGTGAAAAATCGCACCTCTAGTGTGTGTGTGAGTTCTGGACTTAGATGACATGAAAAATGGGCCAAAACTCCAATTTATAATGCTAAAACTCGAGTTGGGCCCGGTTGGCCCGGCTAGGTACCCATTTTGACCACCAACACTTAAAATATTCATAACTTTTCGCTCGGAACTCCGTTTTCTATGAGGTTTTCGCCTACACGCTCATAAAGAGATAATCTATAACATCCAACAACAATATTCTAGAAAAGATCTCCCAAGAAAATCCAGTTTACGTATCTTTTCGACGTAAAATTTTCCCAAATCCTTTAATATATTTTTAAGAAATATAATTCTAAAACTTCAGACCCAAACTCCCACTAAATCATAAGTTCTATTTAACCCAATAATTAAATATACTAAGCAAATAATTGGGCATATTAGAAATTGGATGTTACACTGATATCGATATTTTTTTCAAAATTTTATGATATTTTTAAATTTATATTTTATTCAAAAATAAAAATATTATCACTTTCTCAAAACCACATAAAACCAATGTTTACTTAAATTTCAAAATTACAAGTAAATTATGCAAAAGTACAACTTATCAAAGCTCATAGAGGATAAACATCTTATTTTAAAATATAAAAAATCTAAAATATAATTAGGATAATTATCGAGTTCTAACAAAATAATTAATTATTAATTTTATAAGAAAATTATATTATTAAACCAAATATAAATTACTTTGTTATTGTACCTAAATTAAATTATAATAAAAAGTTGAATTTAAAAATTACACAAAAATGAGGAATTTTAAATAGTTAATTTGATATGAATATCGATATATATTTGTTATGCATAAAGTACTGTATATTGATGCATATTACTTAAAATTCAAGATTACAAGTAATTATGCATAAATACAACTTATTAAAACTCGATGTTTGAATTCGTATAAATAACTACGGATAAACATAATCAAATAGAGGATGAACATCTTATTTTAAAATATAAAAAATCTAAAATATAATTAGAACAATTATCGAGTTCCAACAAAATAAATAATTATTATTTTATTAAAAATTATATTATTAAACGAAATATAAATTACTTCGTTATTGTACATAAACTAAATTATAAAAAAATAGAATTAAAAAATTACACAAAAAATGAGAAATTTCAAATAGTCAATTTGATACTAATATCGATATATTTTTGTCAAATTTTTATGATATCTTCAAACATATATTTTATTCAAAAATAAAAATATCATCGTTTTCTTAAAATCACATAAAGTCATATTATAACATTACATGAGATAAAAAAATAAAATAAAATATTAAAATCACGATGTATCTCGCTGTATTGCGCGAGTACGCTTCTAGTTAATCTATAAAATATGTTGTTTTATATAAACATTTAGTTTATTTAAATAATAAAAAAAATTTGAAAAGTGGGTGGCCAGGCCAAGATGATGACATGGCCAACTGAAAATATTGCAACTCACGATCCTGGAACTCAAATTGAAATTGGTTTTGTGACTTTGAGAGCCGTGTATAGATGGTAAGGATACTTCCTAAAAATAGAAATGAGTTGTAATCATCTTTACCTTTTAATTATTTTTTTGTTGGATTGATTTAAATATCACTATATCTGTAACATGTAAATTCATAATATTACGAACCTGACCATCATAATTGCATATTTGGTTGTCATAATTACATATATGTGTTAAATTTTTTATCTTTAGCTAGGTCCGCAAATATTGTGAAAGCAGTGACATTTGGATCAACACGAAAAAGAAATATTTAAAAGGCCAATTTGAATGAGGAAAATGATCATTCAACTTAAAGACTCCTTTCTAAACTATCAAAGTTTAGGTCATACGTTCAAATTTTTCACTAAACCATAAAAATCAAATTAAAATTTACTCAAGATTTTATATGCATTATTGATTCATATTAATGGTTATATATTTGAAAATTTTAAAAGGTTTTTAATATAAAAACCTAAATGGTTTAATTAACTCAATGGTGTTGGAATATGTAGAATTTGAGAATAAATATCAAATATAGTTCATGAAAATGGTATTCAACAAAAATAATTATTTTTATTAAGATGTGAGCATTTTTTATTTCGTTTTTTTATCTATATTATATTATAAAGTATTTGACAAAAGTTCTTAAAAACCATTCATTTATGCATGAAACAATGTTTATTAATGCATATTACTTAAAATCTAATATTACAAATAATTGTGTGTAAGTACAATTTATAAAAGCTCCATTTTTGAATTCGTATAACTAACTACAGATAAACATAATTAAATATAAGATAAACATCTCATTTTAAATATAAAAAATCTAACAAATTATTTCACTATTAAATCTAAATATAGAATAAGTACATGAAAAAGTAACATATTTAACTTGATTTCTATTTTTTGTAATGTACTTTCAGAACTTTCATTTTGATATGTAAATGTAAATTTTTAAACATTTAAGTATCTGGGTAACTGGTTGAAGCATTAACCGGTTGCCATGCTGATGTGCCGAGTGATGTGGTATACAACTCAGTATTATTTGTTGACATGAATATCTTAATTTAAAATTAGTTTTTATATATTATAGTTTATTGTAAGAAAAATTTAATGCTTCAACCAATTACTTGGGTATTTAAATATTTAAAATTTTACATCTTAAATATCATGATAAAAATTTTAAAAATATATAACCTAAAATAAGAGTCAAATTAAAATATACAATTTCAACATGAATATATGATATCAAACGAGTAAAGGGTGTATCTTCTCCATCTAATATTTCGGGGTATAATTTTAAATTAATATTATAATTAAAAACATTCTTTTTCCTGAACAATAAACAAAAGAAACATTCTTTTATGAATAATAAATAATAAAGCCTCTCCTCCAAATATCGGTGAACAAAAAGCACCGTCGCGGATTCTCTCTCTCAGGTAAATTGAACTCCGATCGATCATTTGCTTCGATCGCATGAAATTCAAGGATCATATGCAATAGATTTATATCGTTCTTAATCTGAAATTTAGGTTTGTTGATTTAACTTGCTGATTATGTTTGCCTGCATGATACGTTTCTCTTTCGTGTTCGCTATAATATATTATGCATATTGATCAACGATCGTTAGAAAGCAAAGAAAATCTATGCGCCTTCTGATTTACCTGCTTTATGGATTCAATTTGTTGATCAGTTAGATATGGCCTTTGTAATTATTTAATGTATTCCGATCTTGTGATTTTTTTCTTCTTTTTTGTTATGTTGATTCGTACAGCAATCCGACAAAAATCCTTTTTGTTTTCTGGAATTTCAAACCAGTTTTTCAATTATAAAAATTTGTGCTGAAGAATAACATATTTAGTTTTGCAACTCCAGAAGGTTTTTGTTTAATCAACTGCTTAGCTTGATTGGCCGATCCATTCTCGAAGTGGTAATATCATGCAGCTTGTGGATTTGAGGTTTCCTTTTCGGTTGTTCATAAAAATATTTATTTTGAAATAATCTGAAAGTCCTTGATTTTTTTGGCTTGAAAACAGAACAACTTTTTTAATCGATCATACCATTACCAACCATAACTTGTTAAATACACGAAAATCGAATAGGGGTGGTTTTTGTGACAAAGGAGTGTTTTGTAGTTGGTAAATAGGCTTAGTTGATTATTCGGGTGTCCTTATAAGTGGCTTTTATGATGAATACCTCAAATGACAACTTCTCTGGTGTTGGAGTGGTACCGAGGAATATTAGTTATTAACAGCAAGAAAAGCTTCCGTGTTCTTGTCTTAGAGATTTAACTGAGTGTGCATAGGACGAACAGACGAATATTTGTTTTCAACCGTCAAGTGAACATCTGGTTGTTATGTAATGTTGAAGAAGACCTCCTAAAACATTTCATATTGGATAAAGCTTATATTGTTTAAGGATTTGGTTTTAGGTGTTATTATGCAGTTTGTAGTTCCAGTTATGCTGGTAGAATTTGACCCGTTAAGATGACTCTTTGGTCCACCAAAATCATATGAATTGAATCAGTGCCAAACAACATTAGAGAATCCTGGAAAATTAGGGATGACTCAATTCTCTAGAATTGGTTAAGTTCCGGCAAATATTAATTTAATTGGGTGTTCCTCTTTTGGTTTCTATGATGTATTATTATGTTAAAGCTGCGAGGAATCATGTTCTTATATAAGAAAGTTTGTGGCAGATAAAGCATCGTCTTTAATGGATTCCATGCCTGGAAGCCATTTCAGTTCATTAAGTGAAGCTAGTCTTACCACATTTGAGATGTAATAAGAACTAGGGTAAATCAGGTTCCGCGTCCACCTGCAAGGTGATTTTATGATAATTGCATGTATCATACTGTAAGAATTGTGAATGGTGAGTTCAGTCTATCCTATTTCTGCCACATTGTTAAGCTTCTGACTATAGTTTATTTATTGTTTTCTGAACATTGGTTTTGTTGAATTTTTTTGCTGATGATATAATTGTGCATCCCTATAAAAACCAGCGGAGATCAAGATGAAATAAAATAATCGGGGGAGGCCGAAAGTCATGGTAAGTAACATACCACATCTCTAGCAGATAGGAAAACTTGTATAGGAACTCAACTACCAGCTTAGTTTGACGAATGAATTGATCTCTCAAAATATTGTTTTGGGAGCTACTTTGTCTTATGTAGCGCATTCAAGCTCTTCTATTGTGGAGCCTAATACAACACCACTAAGATGCTAGGAAACAGGTGCAGGCAAATCTGAATAAATGAGGATACAGGTATGACAAGGACATGATGTATATTCAATGATTATGCAAATAAATATACAAGAACATACAGATGAAACAACACATTATATCTAAGCAACACACACCCAAATCCAACAGGAGTGTCGAAAGATGATAATAAGCTAACCAACATAGAGTTATCTAAATGAACACATAGTTGTAAGCACAAGAAATATTTCCAAATTTTGGAGAACAAAACATTCGTATTATTGTTATTAGGCCAACTCACGAGTGGGATATAACGGGTTCGTTTGGCTTGGTTTGTATTATTGGGCCAACTCTAACTTGATTATCTTGGAGAAAACCCCAGGTTGGTAAGTCAATTATTTTGTGTTAGTAGATTATATATTTTAAGTATCTGGTATACATGCAAGTGTTCTAAAAATGCCTGCTCAGTGCTGCTTAAGCAACTCCCGTATGCGTTAAGTGCCTGCATCACTTTGTTTGATTAGAATTAACTAGTTGAATCAAGCGTTTCGAACAAGAATTAACCTACTTTTCTCAACTTGTGTTCATCATTGACTTTTCTCAACTTATGTTCATCATTTGACTTTTCTCAACCCTGAAAGAATCTTTCTAGTCCGTTCTGAGTGATAGTAACGATGACACAATAAAATCAATCATTTAGGAAAGTAATTCTATCAAAATATTGTGATATTAAAATTTTAATGCTCATGTTTACATAATCTAAAAGAATTATTTGGCATTGGCATTTAAATCAACCATTTACGCGCCCTCTTTTTAATTCAATGTATTGTGATTCATGATAAACAACAAATGATGTTGACTATAAGGTTTGTTCAAATCATTTTGTCTTTAGTTTTGCATCTTATCAACCCCATAGTTTACCTTTCCAGAAGTTTGATGTGCCACAGCTGCTTTCGGCTGTTTGATGGAGTCTAAGTTTGAATTTCTTTTTCTTGCTAAACTGAGTTATACTGGCTTTGATAGAAACAAAGACACCTCTTTTTGGCTTTATGAAACAGTAAATGATTATTTCGTGAAAATAATAATTGCAAAATATTCTTTGATCAAAGGCACTTTTTTTCCCGAGTTAAATCTGATAATACCATGCTTCAGCATGTTATTGTGGACACTTGAGGTATGACTTACCTTTTCCTGCTAAATAGAATGTCGTAGATGGATAAGAAGCCCCCTTTTTGGAACCAATTAATTCTGAGATCTGAACCATTAAGTTGGGAATAATGTGTCTATGAAAGAATTACCTTAATATTTGATTTGAGGATTTCATACTTGCACTTGCTTTCTGCTTCTTTCATTTGTGTTGAGTAACAACGTATATGTAGCATACTTATTCCAATTTGCACATGAAATCTTAGTTTCCATATTTGTACTGTTGATGACATGTAATAGAATATTCTGTTCTATCTTTCGGCATTAAGCTGAGGCAGCCTTTTCCCATATAATGAGCAAGATCTTTGTGTGGACTAAAATAATGCTATCAGGTAGTTTTCTTATTGGTACAACAGTCCATCATCCCAAGATGGCAGATGCTCATGATACTGACAAGAACATTGAGATTTGGAAGATTAAGAAGCTTATCAAGGCACTGGAAGCTGCTCGAGGCAATGGAACTAGCATGATTTCTCTCATTATGCCTCCACGTGATCAAGTATCTCGGGTGACAAAAATGCTTGGAGATGAATTTGGAACCGCTTCAAACATAAAGAGCAGAGTGAATCGTCAGTCAGTTTTGGGTGCAATAACATCTGCCCAGCAAAGGCTCAAACTCTACAACAAGGTTCCTCCAAACGGGCTTGTGCTTTACACTGGAACCATTGTTACTGAAGACGGGAAGGAAAAGAAGGTTACAATTGATTTTGAGCCCTTCCGACCCATTAATGCGTCCTTGTATCTTTGTGATAACAAATTCCATACAGAAGCTCTGAATGAACTACTAGAGTCTGATGAAAAGTTTGGTTTTATAGTCATGGATGGGAATGGAACGCTGTTTGGAACATTGAGTGGTAATACTAGGGAGGTACTTCACAAGTTCAGTGTTGATCTCCCAAAGAAGCATGGAAGAGGAGGACAATCTGCATTGCGATTTGCTCGTTTGCGAATGGAGAAGAGGCACAACTATGTCAGGAAGACTGCAGAGCTCGCAACACAGTTCTTTATCAATCCTGCAACTAGCCAGCCAAATGTTTCAGGACTCATACTAGCAGGATCCGCAGACTTCAAAACGGAACTTAGTCAATCAGATATGTTTGATCCCCGTCTTCAGGCAAAAATCTTAAATATCGTAGATGTTTCTTATGGAGGTGAGAATGGATTTAATCAGGCTATAGAGTTGTCGGCTGAGATCCTTGCAAATGTTAAGTTTATACAGGAGAAGCGGTTGATAGGCAAGTACTTTGAGGAGATCAGTCAGGACACTGGGAAGTATGTTTTTGGTGTGGACGACACCATGAAGGCTCTTGAGATGGGTGCTGTTGAAACGCTCATCGTGTGGGAAAATCTGGACATCAACAGGTATATTCTTAAAAATAACATATCAGGTGAGGTGATCATAAAGCACTTGAATAGAGAGCAAGAAGTTGATCAAAAGAACTTCAGGGATTCAACCACCAATGCAGAGTTGGAAGTTCAGGAAAAGATGTCTTTGCTCGAGTGGTTTGCTAATGAGTACAGGAAGTTTGGTTGCACACTTCAGTTTGTCACCAACAGATCACAAGAGGGATCTCAGTTTTGCAGAGGTTTCGGTGGAATTGGGGGAATCCTTCGTTATCAGCTTGATATGCGAGCATTCGATGAACTCTCTGATGATGATATCTATGAAGATTCTGAATAGCAATCAATCAACATTTACACGCCGGTGCAGGGGAATGCCACAAAATCCCTGCATCGGGCGGGGGCTCTCGCACATGCATCAGCTGCTCCTCTGTTGTTAACTGTTCATGGATCTTGCTTTGAGGGTAAGTATTTCATTTTTTTGATAAGGAATACCATGAAACTGGTTTAATGTTGCAATCTAATATGCACATGCAGATGATTCCATGTTTGTGCTTGACCAGTAATTTCAAGCATAGAAAAAATGGAGTTCCTTTAGATGTCAGGATCAGAATTCATCGGCAACTACAAGTTATTATTTCTTGTTTGGATGTCACTTGATGCTCAATTTGGTAGGACTTGAGGAACTGGATTTTATTGTTAGTAACTGGGATTTAGGGTCTTCTTAAGCCTATTAAAGTAGGTTTTATAGTAGGTTTTATCTATAGTAATTAATACTAGTTATTTTATCTATTTGTTTGCATAGTTTATTCTTTTTCAACTAGGGTTTGACGCTCACAAGGTTGAAGGTATAAATAATTTGTTCATACTACAATTTTGTTTATCTGAAAAATATTAATAATCTGTTCTTTAGTTGCTTTAGGAAGCCTCTGCTACTGAAGACCCATATAACATCTGCTACTTTTTTTTTCCTGATTAACCTGGATATCCAACCCGCTATGCGAATCGACTAAACCCAGGGCGACCACCTGCTTTGCAGATAGCTTGGAGTCACCGCATTTGAACCCCCGTGGCCACAAGGGGATTTTTATTCCTCCTTGGATTTAAACCTGAGACCTCCTGGTACTTTTGACCTTTGAAGCCAAGCTCAAACCAATTAAGCACCACCCTTGTGGTTAACATCTGCTACTTGGCTTTTAAAGTTTGATATCCATGTTTCAAATTCACCCTGGAAAACCACCTTCGTCTTCATTTACGCCCATCACTTCATTTGCAACCCAACTATATTATACATCTTCAACGTAACCCAATGCCTTTAAAATCTTTTATGCATCTCTATTTTTCTAAATCTGGTCCGAATGAAATGGTGAGAGCAAAAAAAGGTAGAAATTATATAATTTCTACTGGTCCGTAATATGATCTGATCCTTTTAGTTTCTATACTTGTAATATAAGGTCTTGCAAGCTTGTTACCAATTTCAAGTGATACCAGGGGTTTGCTTTATAATGTGCTTAGATGGTTGTGCCTGTGGCCCTGTCTGTTGTCTATATGTTCAGGGTTCTCTTCTAGTAATTTAAGACTAAAGCCTCATTTGGTAGCACTCGTGATTTCTGTTTTTGTTTACAGTTTTTCTACTGTAAACAAAAAAGACGATTGACGATTTTTTATATTGCTGACAGGCGTTGGAGAAAGCATTTCTCCAAGTGGAAGAAGTGGCAGCGAATCTGGTTATTCTGTATGGAAGTGCAGAGCTCAACAAATGACTTGTCTGAATGAAGAAGGCATGGAGAAGATGTGTCTGAAAGCCTTCTAGATTTGCTTATGAAGAAGCAGCCTTTCTTTGGCTAATAATATGTTATGATATTTTATATGTATCGTCTTAATTCTGCTAATAAATCGCTGCATGAGCATCATATCATGTAGACGTTGTACTACTTGATTACAATCCTATGTTTCCTTGACAATGGTAAAGACTGGTTATATACTCTATGCGTCATCGTTCTTTCTTGCAAGTAAACCTGATGACAAAAATAGATATTGTTTAGCAGAACGATTGTACTCAGATACACAACATGTTGAAGTTCGAATCCTACGGAAGACTGACTTGAACCCCTCCGATAACGTTAAGTCAGCTCTGAAATGCCTCCTCACATGTGGTTCCTACAGGAGAGTTCTGTGTACGGACAACTAGGGTTGCCGGTAATCAAATTTGCCCAAAAAAGTAGATATTGTCTATGTTGCAGGAAGCATAATTAGATATAATCATATCGATATATGCAAGTTGGAGATTTTTATGAAACCAATTGTTTATAAGTTCAAATTTATGGATATATTGAATCCATATGATTCTAAAAAACGCCATGGTAAATCGTATGTTATCATTTGATCATACACGATGATATGCACGACGTGTATGATAGTTGTGACTTCATGACTAATCATACGAATAATATTTTTGTCAACTTGTAAAAAATCTTAGATTTTCTCAAAAACGATATCGTTTTTTACCCATATTCTATTAAACAGTTTCATTTAAGTACGTAGTTAACATCTCATGGTTAGCGTATCACTTCTAAGCAATTATTGTTTTTTTATTGGATGATTAAATAGGTATTTCCTCTATTGGGTAAAAGGATATTTATTAGGTCATAAATGATAGTTTTTGCCAACAATATTATCTTACCATTTTGTTAACTAAGAATCTTGAAGGGTAACAGCTTTTGTCCGGTTAGTATTTACAGAGTAAGAGACTTGCTAAAATACACATATTATGATATTTTTATGACCGAAAATCATAACAAATAAAATAAATAAAGTACTGAATAATAATTTGTTCAATTTATGTTGATGTCTTTTCCAACATCTTTGTCCCATTATGCAACATTTAATTAGTGATATATTCAGGAGTGGACTTATGAAGGATGGGTCCCACACACACAATGAAATGAGTTTTGTAAGTATTTTTTTAAGGTATGAAAAGTGTACATGATAAAACTTTAAAGTTTCTTAGAAATATTAGAAAATAAAAGAACATCAACTAAAAACCCGAAAAATCCTTTGAAATCAACCCCCCCCCCCCCCCCCC